TTGGCTCGCCGCTACTTGAGCCTGCTAGTTCCAGCCCACTGTGTAGCACCCAGCTTATCGCTGAGTGTGCCTTCAGGCGAGAGAATTTAGGGGTGGCTGTGTTTGCTTAGATAAGTATTTAATTTCATACGAGGATGATTACAATGTAATTTATTTCGGAAAGGAGTATCGGAAGGTGAATCTGCCGAAACACCGGGAGCGACATCTCCAGCGCCACCAAGCCCGAAGCCACCAGCTGTTGGGGGAATTGCAGGTACCTGTTTAGACACATCAGTATCGAAGGCAGTTCCAGCAAAGTTTTAGAAAGTTTTATCAGTTTTCATACATATATTCTACTATGTTCGTTTCCATGACGAAAAAATGTTAAAATACCCTCCTTCTCGAAAGTTATGCAATTATTCACCAACTTCAGGGACATACGATCCGAATTACCAAACTCTGGCTGGTGTAGGTGGTGACGTCTTTGGAGCAGACAAAAAAGCGCTGAAGGTGGAGGTGCACCGAAGCCTGCAGCCCCTGCTGTTGGTGGCATCGCTGGTGAGAATTTGTAACTGCACTTGCACTAACTAAATGATTGCCTGGAACAGACCTCCTCACCTAAATACGTTTCATTAGCTGCCATACAATACCCTAAGCATGGTGTTGCAGTGCCCCATCTTGGTCAAAAGCGCACATAGTTCATATTGCGTGCGGCATGGTAAGCAGTCGCGACATCGTCGCTTATTGACCACAGTCATTACTTTCTAATTGCTCCTGTCTATATATTATGCTACTAAATATCGAGAAAGTTGTTCTTCACCCGGCCCTATGCCCTACGGAATTGGTGCAATCCCCCTTTCAGGTGTCTCATTCCATCAATTGTATGACAGCGATTGATAACGGAAGTATGGCTGCCGAACCCACTGGAAACAAAGTAGGAAACCCTCGTTGAAGCCTTTACGATCCTCCTCTCTCCCCTTAGAGGGGAAGGTGTGCGTGACATCTCGCCTATGAGCTAACGTTTGCTTTCATTAGCTCGGTTAGTAGGGTCCTGGCGCCATTGTTGCGCACTTTCATGTCGCAACAACGCCACTTCCGTGATACCCGTGGGCAACTCTATCCTACTTAAAAAAGGTTCTTCCACAAGACCTCATCTGGGGTCTTGCTTCGAGTTTGTCTAGTCAACCAAAGTATGATATTTGCTGACATCATGTCAGCTATCGGGGCATACACACGTGGCTTGGCGCGACAGCATCTCCTTCCACTATAAACGCTTTTGTTCCCTCCGGCTCGAACTTGTGTAGAGTAAAATTGGGCGTTGCCATGTCACTGCGACAACAAAAGAAGTGACCAACAATCCAAATTCAAATGAATGTGCTCGATTTCCTGGCTCTAAATATCAATTACAATAAGAGCTGTTCCAGGAACTCACGATCCGAATTATCAAACCCTGGCTGGAATCGGGGAGATGTGTTTGAGAAGAAGGACGGTGGAGGAGGAGGCGGAGGTGGTGGTGGTGGTGGAGGAGGAGGTGGTGGTGCAGCACCCAAGCCTGGAGCAGGCGGAATGGCTGGTGAGCTTTGTTATCCACGAATTGGCAAACATAGTCAGCTTGTACTTTGATAAGTTGACATTCCTTTGAGAATTTCTATAGTATTAAGTTATTCAA